CTGAGTGGTCTTTCCGGAGGCTATTACGTCCTATAGGTCATCAACTGTGCACAGTCCCGTCCCCCCACAAGTCCCACCACCTCATTCTGGCATCTCAGAGTCCCTGAGCCCTCTGGCTATGCTGGCCGTAAGTTCCTCCTGCTGCCCTAGCTGAGTGTCCCCTGTGCAGGGGCTCGTGCCTGGGGAGTGGCCGCTCTGACACAGGTCTGTGAGCAGGCCCAACTCTCCAGGGCGCCTTCCTGTCCCCACAGTAGCTGTGATTCAGTGTAGGCCCTCCTGTCCCTGTTTACAGAGGCCACACTGGGGGAGACTACCCTGAGAAAGTCCTTCTTGGACTCCAGGGTCTGGGCTCAACACCCATCATGCCTGGTGCCTACCCTGGGCCACCAAGCTGTCGTGGACCCTCCTCCTGCCCATCTGTCTGTCTGACTTACCCCAACAATCTGGGCCTCTATTCCTCACTTCTTCTTCCCTGTGTATTGCAAATGGTTAATGTACCCCACTGCTAACTGAGAGGTTGGAGGTTTGAGGTCACCCAGAAGTGCTTAGCTGGAAGACTGGCCTAGCAATCAACTGGCCTAGAATCAGCCACTGAGAACCCCAGGGAGCACGCGTTTACTCTGACACACCTGGGGTTGCCACAGGTTGCAGTGGGAGTGACAGCAGGCAGTCTGGTTTCGTGCTTTGGCCCCCCTGGGCACGATTCTCCAAGGCGCGGAGGGAACTTGCCTGGCTTTTGAAAAGCCCCCTCTGCACCTGCAGGGCCCTCACCCCTCAGCCCGTCTCTGTCCCTTGCTTTCCCACGTGCCCCCTGTCAGGGTACGCGGGGAGGGCCATGCCCACCTTCCAGAGCTCTTGATCACTCTCCTGTCTCTGCCATTTTAGCACCCTTCCGTTCCACTTGCCGCCTGCTGGGCTGACGAGGACTGCCCGGAAGGAGAGACGGGGACACACAGCCACGGTACTGGGGGCTCTCTCTTCCAGCGCCCTTCTCACTGGGGCCTGGCTGGCTGCGACCTGGGGCGGGAGGGCTCCTGGGGGCAGGCCTGGCCAAGCCTCTGTTCCCCCTCCCCAGCCCCTGCAGAGACTTGAAGACCTGGAGTTTATCTTGTGTTCATAAGGTATAAAGACTGGATTCTGTGTGACGTTCAACGGGACCCACAGCACCTGCGAGGTCCGTGGCTGGTGCCCTGTAGAGAACAGCGTCATGCCAGCGTAAGTCTGCCCCCTACTTGGCACAGGACCTCCCAGGACACAGAGGCCTGCCCTGACCCCCTCCCTTCACCCTCAGGAAGCCCCTGCTGGCCCAGGCCGAGAACTTCACACTCTTCATCAAAAACACTGTCACCTTCAGCAAGTTCAACTTCTCCAAGTAAGCCTGGGTCATCCTGGCTGGCCCCAGACCTTCCCTGTTCAGTGCCCCACGGTGTCTGACCCGAGCCTCCCGTCTCCCCAGATCCAATGCATTGGAGACCTGGGACCCTAGCTATTTTAAGCACTGCCGGTACGACCCGCACGCCAGTCCTTACTGCCCGGTGTTCCGCATTGGGGACCTCGTGCAGGCGGCAGGTGGGGACTTTGAGGACCTGGCGTTGATGGTGGGTCTTCAGGCAGGGGTCTGAGTGGGTGTGGGCAGAGGGTTCCCGGACCTGCTGCCAGCCAGGTGATGCTATGATGTGTACAGGGTGGGGCTGTGGGCATCCGTGTCCACTGGGATTGTGACCTGGACGCCGGGGGCTCCGGATGCCAACCCCACTACTCCTTTCAGCAGCAGGATAGAAGCTACAACTTCAGGTGCGCCTCACCTTGTCCCCAGCGCCAGGCCAGCCGGCCCTAGCTCCATGTCCCCCTGTGCCCATCCCCTGGCCTTCTGGATGTTTTGTGCTGTGTGAGCGGGTAGGGGTGAGGCTCCCAGGAACTGGCTGCTGGGCAGGACAGGGTGTTCTCATCCCAAGTCCTCTTGCACACGTCCATGGAGCTCACTCCTTCGTCCTCCCCGTCATGTGTCCCCACACCCCTACCCGGACGCCCACACCAGCCCCCTGCACCCCACTCGCCTCCAGCCTCTCCCCTTCATTGTACAGGGGCCTTTTCCGTTTGACTTTCCCCGCAAACTTTATCTTAAAAATTTCAAAGGAAAGTCCACAGGCAAGCGCTACAGACACCCATCATCTGTGTTCGGTGGCTTCACACTGGTGCGGCATGTTTGCTTGCTTCCTTCTAAGGATGCAGTGGGTCTGTCTGGATGGATTTCAAACAGCAGCCTCGAAAGGAAGTGGCAGACACCCAGATGCTCACCCCTTTGAACAACAACTCATATTGCCCGAGAACCAGGCCCTTCCTCGTGTGACACTGTCCTGGTCTCTTAGTGTGGCTGTAACAGAAACACCACAGTGGGAGCTTTAAGGAACAGAATTTTATTTTCTTACAGTTTAAGAAGGCAGACATTACAGTGCAGAGCGCTAGTTCTAGGAGAAGATTCTCTCTTCCAGCTTTTATAGCCTTGGGGTTCTCGAGGGAAGCAAAGCCCAAAGCAAACCCATTGTACTGGAGTCCATTCAGGCTCACAGCGCCCCTAGAGGACAGAGTGGAACTGCACCACAGGGTCTCCAAGGCTGTCAATCTTCACAGAAGCAAAGCCCAAACCACACCCACTGC